GGAGTCACGTGGGGACCAGATCAGGGAAGGATGGCTAATTTCCTTGTGTAAAGGACACTAGAATTTTAGGTGGTTTTAATAATAATTTCTGATGGTTTCCTGATAACCAGTTCTAAGCCTAGCTTTCAATTCCTGATTTTTTAGCTGAATTTAAATAGTACTAGATGCTGTGATGGAATTTGAAACCATGTCCCCAAAGCATTTGCCTGGGTTGCTGGCTTGCAAGTCCAGTGATATTACCACAATGCCACCATCTCTCTACATGTAGACTGATGGAGGTGTTATACAACAAAATCAGCTAATCTGTATTTGATCTCCAAAGTAGATTGGACCACATTGGGAACAGTGAATAAAATATACTAAATGGAGAAAAGCACAATTAAAACATTGTTATACTTGGAACGAGTGTGTGGAGCTTCATTTACCTCCACACCTCAGCTGATGAATCAGTGCACCTTCATTTTAAACACAACTTAGAAGAAGCACAGAGAGTGGCAAGGACATAATATGTACTTTGAGTGAAGACTACACCACTACTGACTGAACTAGCTGAGTCTAGAAGGACACATCTGCAAGACTTGGACTGTTGCAGGTGGTGAGTGAACTGAGAGAGAAAAATCTATCAGGCCTTGTTTTCATCAAATTATTTGTTGCATATGCATCTGTCCATTGTAGTTTTATTTTTACTCAGTCATGGGACGTGGGCATCAACAGGTGGGCCAGCAATTATTGCCTATTCCCAGTTATTCTTGAGAAGGTGGTGGTGAGCTGCCTTCTTGAACCGTTGCAGTCCATTTGATGTAGGCAGTCACACAATGCAGTTAGAGAGGGAATTCCAGGATTTTGAATCAGACACAATGAAAGGACTGTGATATATTTCCAAGTCAAGATGGTGAGTGACATGGAGAGGAACTTGCAGGTGGTGATGTTCACATGTATCTGCTGTCCTTGTCCTAGGTTTGAAATGTCCTATCTACGGAGTCTTGGTGAATTTCTGCAGTGTATCTTGTAGATAGTTCATTCTGCTGCTCCTGAGCATCGGATTGGAGGGAATGGATGCTTGGGGATGTGGTGCCAATTAAGCAACCTGCTTTGTCCAGGATGGTATCAAGCTGTTCGAGTGTTGTTGGAGCTGCATTCATCAGGTGGTGAGTTGTCCATCACGCTCCTGATTTGTGTTTTGTAGCTGCTGTTCCAGTACTGCTCCAACACTGGCAACTACCCAGCAATTGAAAAATTGGCCAGGTATGTTCTGTCCAGAGAAACAGGACAAATCAAACCTAGTCAATGACGGCTCTATTAGCATCCTATCAGTCTCCATCAATGTGACTGATGTTGTCAGTGACAGTGCTGTAAAGCAGCACTAATTCCGTGATAACATTCTCATTGATGCTCAGTTTAGGTTCTGTCAAGACTACTTAGCTCCTGACCTCATTACAACCTTGATCCAAACGTGGGCAAAAAAAGCTGAATTCCTGATGAAAGGTGAGATTGACTGCTCTTGACAGCTCTGGGCTCTGACTGCTCAATACTACCATCATAACAAAGCACAGGCTCTTTGCTGTTTCAAAAATCTTTAAATTTTGGAGGGATCTGTGACTCTTTAACAGCAAGTAAGCATGTAAATGAGAGAGTTGGTATGAAGTACATTACATTGGTTAGAAGTCTAAAATAACTTTGACTGTCACCTGGAGTTTTCTGGGAGTAGAAGATATGACAAAGGATGATTTGAAATCTTTGACTAAGGCTAACCTGAGAGTGTTAGCAAAGAATTCACAGCAAGAGTTAGCAAATAAAAGCAGGATCACATCAGGATGAGATAACAAAGTTTGGAGCTTGGGGGAACACAGCAGGTCAGGCAGATTTCTGAAGACAGGTCCTGACCTGAAACGTCAGCTTTCCGGCTCCTCTGATGCTGCCTGACCTGCTGTGTTCCTCCAACTCCACACTGTGTTACCTCTGACTCCAGCATCTGCAGTTCTTGTTATCTCACATAAGGATGAGATCTTTTAAAAGTTAAAAAGGAAGTAAACCTGACATGGATGTGTCACTGCTTGAAAAAGCTGAGATTCAGTTAAAAATTGGAAAAACAATTTGAATTGGCAGAGAAAAAAGAACAATGAGACATCAAAAGAGTAAAGAATGAAAAAGTAGAAGAAATGAATAAAACTGAAAATAGAAATGGAAATAAGGAAGCTTGAATTGCCATGAGGAGAAAGGTAAACAAAAAACAATACAAAGGGAACTCCAAAGTGGGAGAGAGCTCAAACAACATGTCATGATTCAAGAAAATCTTGGCATAAAGGAAGAAAGAAGAGATAGTGAGTCAGAGAATTTTGATTCTATTGAGGGATATGATTTAGCTGAAAAAAGTCTTTGTTTAGTGCTTTAATTTACAGAGGATGGAGTTGAAAGATATTTGTGAGCAGTCTTGTGAAATAAAATTGGTAAAGTTGAATGGAACAAAAAAGGCTTGGAAGTCTGGTATTACCATCGGCTGGGATTTAATACCATTTAATACTGTGGCTGCAACAGTTTTGCTGTCATTAACTCACCTCCTGATTCCCCAGTGACTGTCTACCATCTACAAGGCACAAGTCAGGAATATGAAAGAATGAAAGATGAACACAGCTCCAACAATACTGAAGAAGGTTAATACAATCCAAGACAAAGCAGCCCACCTCATCAGTACCACATCCATGAGCTTAAACATTCACTAATTCCAACAATGATGCACAGCAGCAACGTGTACCATCTACAAGATGCATTGCATCAACTCACCAAGGCTTCTCCAAGCCCGCGACATGCACGCCATGACCTTGGCATCTAACGCATACAAGCCACATCGAATTACTATGGCATATCTACAATCCACTGACATTACACTTCTGCATTTCAATGCTGCACTTTGGAGTGCACCTGCACCTTTCATTCCAATGCTGATGCTTCACACAAAGGGACAGATACCCATCTCAAGAATTGGACCAGGCTGTACCTCAGGGATGCTCGATCACTCACTTTCAATGCTCACAGCATCCCTGTTTTGTCTTGCCTTGAATTTGCATCTGGATTTATAAGGTTCTTTCTAAGGAATTTTGGCAAATTTCCGCAGTGCGCCTTGTAGATATTCACAATGCTCTTCTGAGCATCCGTGGGGGAGGGAACTGAATGTTTGTGGATGTGGTGCCAATCAATTGGGCTGCTTTGTCCGGATGGTATCAAGCTTCTTGGGTGTTGTTGGAGCTGCACTCCTCCAGGCAAGTGGGAATATTCCATTACACTCCTGATTTATGCCTTGTAAATGATGGATAGGCTTTGGGGTAATCTATGATAATCTATTTCCAACAAAGTTAAACTATCTACCGCTTTTCTCAGGAACAACTGCTTTACTTATCCATCTTCAGCTAAGAACCATATAGTTCTGCCCCCAAACTGAAAGCTTTCTATACAAGCTGTGGTGTTACCCTCTAATCTTCAAACAAACAAGTTCAGAATCTTCCATTACAAAGCTTAATAGACTATACAGTATACTTGCAGTTCTTGGCGGCTCTCTCTCTCTCAAATCATCATGGCTGCAGAAATACTTACAAGTTATTAATTAAATGCCTTCAAATACACAGAAAATCCCGTGTGCCACTAAATTCAAAAATCCAAACACATACGTAAATGTTATCTAAATCAAACACCCTAAATCACAATGCTGACATTGCTTCATCTTATAGGGCATTAACTGAAATGTTTTGCTTAGCTCTTATCTAAAAACCTTGGGTTTTAACTCACTGAAAAGTTCAGACTCAAGCATTAATAGTTTTTGTTATTTTAATAATAAATTAATCTTCATTTGCTGGATTTATGGAACACTGATAGAAACTACATGATAAATTTTAAAATTAACTTCAGTTAGTATCTGCAATAACTAATCAATTAATTTAGTCTTCCTTTACATTTGATAAATTAGTTCAAATTAAAAACTTCCCAGAAAACTCACCCTATATGATTTCTTGTCCTGTAATATCACATCATTTCTGGCATAGCTTGATCCCACATAGTTCTGACTTTCAGCTGCCATTCATTTTAGCTGTCCCCTCTAGTTTCCTCCTATTGTTGAATCTCAAAGTAAGAAAACTTTCCAAACTCCTAGTATAACTTAATTGCTTACTTTAGAGTTAGAAAATATCGATGAATTTCCTGCTTTTTGATGAGCTCACACACTCGGACCGTATTTTTTCTTTTCAAACTCACTCACTGACTCCCTGCTGCTACTTTTACAGTTGTTGGCCGAACAGCTGGCTTGCAATGCAGAGAAATGTCAGCAGCGTAGGTTCAATTCTTGCACTGGTTGAGGTTACTACGACTCTCCTTTTCAACCTCTCCCCTTGTCTGAGGCGTGGTGACTCTCAGGTTAAATCATCACCATCAGTCTCTAATGAGAGGGCAACTCTGTGCCTGTTGGAACTATGGCGACTTTACCTTTACCTTTGGGGAGCTCTAATACTCAAACTTTCCTCCGCCTCGGGTTGGAGGCTTTGGAGGGAGAATCTTAAGATGAAGTTAATATTGTTCTTGGCAATGGTGGTTTGATGGGGAAACGGTCATGGTGCAGGTAAAAGGAGACTGAGAGTTGGTGTTCAGTCTCTGCAAGGTAGAGGCTGGCCACCGAACAACATTAATGCCACCCTTACTTTTTCAGTTCTGATGGGAGTGGACCAGGGACAAGAGTGCTGCAAGTTCAGAGGAAGGTAGGTCGGGGAGGTGAGAATAGAGGTGAAATTTGAGAATGGGAGCGGGTTTTAGCTGTGCAAGGAGAAGATTCCTATCTTTTTTTTGCAGTGATGATGATCTCCATGGTGCAGAGGATGACAGGATGAAACCGGATGCGTTACTGTGCCTTGTGTTCCAATTCTAATAATCTGTGCATTACAACCGAGAGTGCCCAATGTTAACGGAAACACTATAATACAGTCGGCGGGAGGTGGGTCATGCGCACTGATCGGCAGCGAGGTTAGTGGTTCTGCTAAGGATGTCCTGGCGTGCAGCAGATGGATTTGCGGATGTGCAGAGAGACCATGGGGACAAATTAAAAATAAACTAGTCAGCGGCAGTTCCCATCCTCCGGCGTACCCCCCACTGCCGCTGCCATGGCGGGGCTCCTCCTGCTGCTGGTGCTTGTCTGCGCGGCTTCTGCAAACCCAGCAGCTGAGGAGGGTTTAGCGGCAAGTCCGAGTGCCCGGGAACCGGAGCCGGAGAGCGGGAGGATGGGCCTGGAGGACCTGGAGAAAAGCGGGCTGCAGCTGGAAGAATCGGGCACTGAGCAGCACCAGGAATCCTACAGCACCTTCGCCGCTGAATTCTTCGAGACCCGGTACTGGGGGGATGAAGGTTGGTGGAATGGTTTCGCTGCCGGAGGGATAACAGCTTGAATGGGGGAAGGAAGGAGCTGACTTTCATAAAATACTGAGAAACAGGGAAATTATTCTTGCACGCCCGGCTGCTCCACTGTTATTTTGACATTCTCATTCCAAAGCTGTTGTGTTCACCAGTTCTATTTTGGGAAGGTTTAACTATGACCAGTTTTATTGCTACAGAAAATGGAATGTTCATCCAGGCTTTTCTTATTGAGATTTTACTGAAAGGTTCCATGTACAGCTGGTCTGTTTGAGTGAGGTATCCGTTAAACCTAGAGACTCATGTACGTCAGTTGGGCCTCACATACTTATGCGTCATTTTCCTCCAGATGACAAAATTTAGATGGTTCCAGGGTCCTGATCCTATTCCGTGACTTTACACTGGACCAGGGCGAGGAGGCCCCTTTTCTTGTGGCCGACACGCCCACACTTGATGAACAGGTTCAAACATTGTGCAAAAGCCCTGAGCCACAAGTCGTTCCCAGGACGGCCATCCCCTACCCCCAGAAGGACGCCTCTCCTCCTCCAGTCCTAGTCTACTGCCATCCTCCTCCATCTGACTGAACCACTTTTCACATTGAACAACTTCTCCTTTGACTGCTCATTTATTTCCTCAGAATGACTTTAATAATATTATGCTTTTCTGTACTCAGTGTAGTGAAATTCTGAAATATGAGTTAATATTCTGTTAGTAATACTAGAGGGGTAAACTCCATGAGTTGAAAGGCCTTTTTGTCATTCTGTTCCACATGTTGTATTTTTATTTGCTAGCTGTTTGCATTACTAAATGAAGAAATTTTCACTATTAATTTTATGTATTCTGATTATTGTGTCTGTGAGCAATCTAAGTATCTCCTGTATTCTCCAATTTTATTTACCGTCCAATATCCATGGTTTCAGGTCCCATGGAATAATAGCACATTTTTAATGCTTTATTCAGTTTTAGTTAAAGGAATTTGGAAAAATGAATCAACGATATGTGCACGTGGAAATGTAAGATTGGTTCTATTATCTAATGATTCTAACTGTGGGAAAACATCACAAAGTTATATTGCATCACTGCCCAGGCAAAATGCCTAGGAAAACTTGTGCCAACATAAATATGTGTTTGATCACTACCACCTACCATGTCTTTCCTTGTTATAATAACTAATCAACTCAGATTCATCTCACAGTAATATAAATATCCATGGCAAAGATGAATATTAATTGACAGGTTTGTCAATGTTCTTTATGGTGGAAAATGTTGTTACACTCTTCTGGTTTGCATTTATCTTGAAGGAAAATCAAGGTGATTTAAATAATGATTGTCAAGGTATGAAGTCCAAAAAAATTCAGCAGGGAAGATAGCAAATGGAACACTGGATTAGTCATGAAGTCTAAATCAATTCAGCAGGGAAGATAGTAAATGGAATACTGGATTAGTCATGAAAACTTCTCAAATTTGAGATGCCGTAACCACATGTATATACTTCTATTGGACAAAAGGATGCAGCAAAATGTAGAGCTCCATGGATAAATAGAGAAAATCAACTAGCAAACAATGCGCACGATAAAATCAGGACAAACAGTACTAAAGAAAGTTGTGAGGATACTGAAATCTTTGTAGGCAGGCACAAAGGGAAGCCAGAAATGGCAGAAGTAATGTGAAAAACAGACTAAAACATAACATCTCCAATTCTCTGAGATATAATAAATACACTAAAAGTAAAATAATTAGGATTACTCAAGGATAAAGATATGAATCTATTTATGAAAAATAAATATATAGAGGTGAAGTAATAAATATTGTCAGTGGGAGTGAGGTATCAATGGACCAGTCAAATATGTTGAACAGTTCTTGGGGATAAATTGTAGAAGAATGATTCTGAAAAAATGGTTTGACTCAAGGTCATAAACCACTTGGGCGACATGGCATGGATCTAGGTTTATGATGGAAGACAGTGAGGATATAGCATAAATTCTGACTAATGTTTTGAAACTTTCTTTGAAATGCAGATTGACTACACTGCAAATGTTTGGCCCAATGTAGTGTCCCTGCTTACGAAGAGAGAAAAGGATAAATCGGGTAACTGTTGATGAAATCCTCCAGTGCCGAGAATGGCCATTCTTTTTGAATCCAGTAATTCAAGATCAATTATAGAATCACCAGAGACACATGAACAAATAAAAAACTGCCCCTGTGTGGATTTCTTAATGTTGGACATGCCTGTTTAGATAGATCAAAGGAAGGTATTTGACAAAGAAGTGTAGGTTTTCAGAAAGTCTTTTCCCTGGACTTTGGAAATAGTTCTACATTTCTTTCCAAGGCTGCTAACATGAATCTTCCAGAATTCTGATGGCCTAAAATTCCTCAGTTTTAAGAACTTGAAGATTTATAAATAAGCTGTCCTGACTTGCAAGCTCCCTGCATTAACAGCACTTCAGCTAGGGTGATTGGTTCCCTTGATTTAAAGCTTGATTCTTCTTCTATGAGAACTGAACTGAACTCCTGGTTGTTCTGAACTGAGACCTTGAACTTTCTGTTCTGAAATCAACATTAAACTGTTGTAAATTCAGCAATATAAACGTTCCATACATTAACACTACAGGGTTCCACCCAGGTACTTGACTACCGTCACACACTTTCAAGGGATTGATTCAGTTAGGTTACTGTTTCAAATAACTTTCCAATGTGTATAAAAAAAGTTATCCTCAAAAAATGATCCACATCTATCTGCTTGTACTTTGAAGTCCAAATCCCAAATATGATGTATATCTCCTACACCTTACCTCACACTATTGAGAAACAAGGAAATGGCAGGGACATCTTCATCGTAGAAGACATAGAAAGCATCCAAAGAACAATAGATAGTCAAGGAGCAAATTGGAAGGTGATACTTAAAATTATCACCAACACATAAGAAAAAGTATTAGGAAAACTAATGGATCTAAAGACTGATAAATTCCCTGTACGCAATGGCCTGAAGATGGTTGTGGTCACCTGAGGTCAGCCATCTGTCCCAAAATATTGCTGCAGAAGTTTCTCATGTAGTATCGTATGTTCAACATCTTCGGCTGTTTTATCAATAACCTTCCCTACAACTTAAAGTCACATGTTTGCTGATGATTGCACAATGGTCACTTTTCGTGACTGTTCAGATACTGAAGCAATCCAAGTCCATTTGCAGCAAGACCTGGACAACAGCCAGACTTGGGCTGATGATTGAGAAGTCACGTTCATGCCACACAAGTGCCAAAAAATGAACATTTGTCCCACAAGTAAGAATCCAACCATCTCTGTTTGATATTCAATGGCATTATCATTGCTGAACCCCTAACTACCACTATCCTTGCAGTTATTATTGACAAGAAACTGATCTGGACTAGCCCTGTAAATACTGTGTTTGCAAGAGCAGGTCCAAGGCTGGAATTCTGCATTGCACGACTCATCCCTTATCTCCACAAAGCCTGTGTATCATTTATAGGACAGAAGTCAGAAGTGAGAGGAAATATTCTCCAGTTCCCTGGATGAGTGCAGCTCCAACAAGATTCAAGAAGCTTCAATAAAACAAAGAATTGTGAATGCTACAGATCTGAGACAAACAAGAACAGAAGTTGCTGGAGAAACTCATCAGGTGTTGTAGCATCTGTGAAGAGAGAAACAGAATTAACATTTCGAGTCAACTGACTCTTCTTCAGGACGAAGCTTGACCCCATCCAAGAATGTAAAGCGCACTTGATTGGCACCCCATCCACTATCTTCAAGGTTCACTCCCCTTGCTACCAATGTACAGAGCAACCGTGTTAGCATCCACAATTTGCAATGCAACAACTCACCAGGCTCTTTGACAACACCTTCGAAACCTGCAATCTCTACCACCTTAAAAGAACAATGGCAACATATGTCTGGGAACATCACCACCTGCAAGTTCCTCTTGAAGCCCCACACCATCCTGATTTGCAGCGGGTGATCATTCTTGCCCAATTGCTGGGTCAAAATCCTGGAACACTCTAGCAGCACTGTGGTGTCATTATGCCTGGGACTGCAGCAATTCAAGAAGGCAATTCTCGACTCCTCAAGGGCAATTAGAGATGGTCAATAAATTCTGGTCTAGCCTGTGATGCCCACCTACCTTGGAAAAAGTCTCTTAAGGCATCTTGTGTCTAAGTCAGATATGTAGAGGCATTTCCTCACTGATATTTAATCATTAGTAACTCTACCCCAGAGAAGAGTGAAAGTTGAATTTTTGAATATATTCAAGGCTGAGTTAGACAGATCTTTTTCTGCAAGTGAGTTGAGGATTAAGAGATCAGGCAAGAAAGTGGAGATAAGGCCACAATCAAATCATGATCTTATGATCTGGCCATGATTTTATTGAATGACAGAACAGGCTTGAGAGGGGAAATGGGCTCCTCCTGATTCTAACTTTAACGTTGTTATGTTAAAGTATATATTTTCTTTGATTGTGATCATGGTTTATATTTTTGTATTGCAGGTTATGCTTTCCCATCCCCTCCTCCAGTGGATCCTTTTGCAAAAATTCGGGTAGATGATTGTGGAAAAACTAAAGGCTGCTTTAGGTGGGTACCAGAAATTTGGCTTTATTTTCTAAATGCCATCTGGTGAAGCTATGCTTATAATAACTGAGCTTGCATATCAACATTTCCAATCTAATATTTTGTTGGCAAACCTTCACCATGATAATTGCAAATTTCCAATTGGACACATGGTGATCAGAATTCAACAATCATCAAGCATATTTGTAAAAATCACTTTTTCTATAAACAGCACATTATAGTTGCTGCTCCATAAATCCAACAACATTATTGATCAGCCACATCACACTGTAGTCTTAATTCCCTACCTACCCTTCTCCTTCACCTCTATTGAGGTAAATACCAGTACCCAACCACTTAGGTTCACTTGCATACTGCATTTTCTCCTTCCTCAATTCTTAACATTTTTCTCCCTATCTCTCTCTGTCATCTTCAGTTTTTCTTTTCCTTTTGATAGTGACAATGGGTGGCATGATGTTGCAAAGAAGAAGGATGCATTTGAGGTAGAGGTAGTAAGAACTGTCGATGCTGGAGTCAGAAATAACACAGTGTGGAGCTGGAGGAACACAGCAGGCCAGGCAGCATCAGAGGAGCAGGAAAGTTGACAAAAAGGTTCTGAAGAAGGGTCCCGACCCAAAATGTCATCTTTCCTGCTCCTCTGATGCTGCCTGGCTTGCTGTGTTCCTGCAGCTCCACACTGTGTTATCTCTGCATTTAATGTAGAGATGGGCAGAAAATATGGCTATTGATGGCTCCCAACATATCTCTTCATCCAATTGGACATGCGACATTCCAGTCCCTGACATTTATTACAAGCCCCAAAATTCATGTTGCAGCTATTTTTCTCCCTTCCTGCCATTTCTGTCACTCCGTCAATCTCTTTTTCATCTCCTTTTGAAATATCTGCTCAGTCCTTCTATAATTCCCTCTGCTTTTCTCTGTTGTCACTCACTTGATCTTTAAACCTTTTGTTTATTCCCCCATTGACTCTCAATCTGCCAGAAACTCTCTCAATCTAAACAACTTAATTTCATTCTCTACCTATTTTACATTTGTCTTCAAAATTCAACTTCTTGTTTACCACAAAACCAACTTAATTTGAGAAAAGATACCATCTAGTCTGCTGTTTCCTCTCTCATGGGTGTAAGAAATTGGTAGTTACTTTTTCTAGGTGGGAGTGTCGTTTGACTTCAAAACTCAACTGCTATCTTTGAAAAGTCAAACTAACATTAACCTGAAACCTCTCTCACTTGTCATTTCCTCTAATCCAAGTGTTTGTGTTTCCCTTTCCCCACTGCTGTCAGCTTAATATACTTTCCAATGTTTGTTGCATACTTTAGGTGAATATGGTGCAGAAAAGAGTTATGAGAATAGTTCCAAAGATGAGGAACATCAATTATGAGGATAGATTGGAGAAGCTGGGTTGTTCTCCTGACAGTAAACAAAATTAAGAGGTGTTCCTTTCGTAGTGGTAGAGAAACACAGGACAACCTAAATAAAACATTTTTAAAACAATGTGTAGTTAAGAATCTGGACTGCATTACTTGAAGGTGTAATGGATGTAAATTCAATTGTGGCTTTCAAAGGAATTTGAATGAAAACCCAAAATGACAATATTTGCATAATTATAGGGATTATAAAGATCAAGATTAGAACAAACTTGGTAGAAAATGTCTTACACCAAAAGGCACTACCATGGTTAATGATTAAAGCAGAGACCAAGTTATTATTTTAAAAAGAAAGGAGGTTGACAATGGAAGAAATTTGTTGTGGAACATGGAAACAAAGGGAGTCAAGACTGCTGCTCATGAGGGGAATAAACACTGTCATGGATCGCTTGAACTGAATGAACCATTTCTGTCTTGTGATTTCTACATAATTTCAACACAAAGTATCAGCAGTTCAAATTTTAAAGAGTTGAACTGGATAGTTATGGGGTCAGGTGTGTTGAATTTTTGCAGATGGTGTGAAGCATGTAACCTGTGTAAATAATTTAAGCTTCTTTGCCCTGAACATCTCAATGTGGAATTTGGAGCTTAAATAAGGTAACTATACTATGCTTGGTACTCCAGATTCAGCTTTACCAGTGCTCTATATAACTGAAGCATAATCTAACTACTTTTGTATTCTGTACCCCTTGTGATAAATGATAACATTCTATTAGCTTTCCTGATTATTTGCTGTACCTACATACTAACCTTTTGCAATTTATGCACTAGGACACCAAGATCTCCCTTTATGTCAGAGTTCTGCAATCTGTCACTATTTAGATCATGTTTTTGTTTTATTCATCCTGCCAAAATGAACAATTTCACATTATTGTACATTATTATCCACTTGCCACCTCATTGCCCACTCACATAACCTATCAATATCCCTTTGTGAGCTCTTTATGCAACTTATTTTCTTACCTATCACTGTACCATGAGCAAATTTGATGACCTTACCTTCTTTCTCTTCATCTAAGTAATTTCTGTACATTGTAAGAAGAGATTCTTGTGGCACACAATTTGCTACAACTTTTAAACTTGGAAAAAGTCCCATTTATGCCTACTCTCTGCCTCCTGTTTGCCAGCCAGTCTTCTAGCTGTGCCAATATGTAACCCACTACATCATGAACTTTTATTTTCTGCAATAACTTTTGAAATGGCACCTTATCAAACCTTCTGGAAATCTAAGTATAGTACATTCACTGGTGTTTTTTTATCCACGACACGTTACTTCCTCAAAGTACTGCAATAGATTGGTCAAACATGGTTTCCCTTTCACAAAACCATGTTGACTCTGCCTGATTGCCTTTAGCTTATCCAAGTAGCCTGTCATAACTTACTTAATAATATCTACTAACATTTTCCCTTTGATGTTGATCTAACTGTCCTGTAGTTTCTTGCCTTCTGTGTCCCTCTCTTTTTGAAAAAAGAAGTTACATTCACTATCTTCCAATCTATTGGGACTGTCATTGATTCAAATGAGCTTTGGAAAATTAAAACCAATGTGTTGAATATCTCACTAGTCAATTCATAGAAACTAGGATCAGGAATAGGCCATTTGCCCATTTAAGTTTGCTCCATTCAATATGATCGTAGCTGATCCTCCATCTCACTGCCACATCCCCTCTTTGTCCCCACACCTCTTGCTGTCTTTGAAATCTAAACATTTATCTGCCTCTTTCTTGAATAGACAGACACTTGACCTCCACAGCTTTTTGCCACCATATCCTGTAAATGTGACTATCTAATGCTTGAAGTTAAAATGAGCAAGTCAATATAAACATTCATGGCCCAAGGAAGGTACTGAACTTCTCTGAAGAAGTCAGTGTTAACTCTGTTGTTTCGTCCACAGATGCTCCAAAATCTGCTGAATTTCTCCAATATTCTTTTTGTTTCAGATTTCGGGAAACCATGGTGTTTTGCTTTTATCCAGCAATATGTTTCTTTTCTAAATAGGACTGTTTAAAATTCACCTCTCTAAACATGAACATTTAAATTTGAACTAACATAACCATCATTCAACCACACTAATTTTTAGGAACCGTCACTTGTAGAAGCATTTCAGTGCTTAATATGATTTACGTTTACAGTGCATTAGATAAATTGAAAAGATAAAACAGGTGTCAATGAAGATAATTTTTTTTCAAATGCTCAAAATTGTATTAAAATCAGTTGCACCTAAAAATCTGCAGTGTGAAAGAACTGGCAGACATGGAGGATACTTGGAGTTAACAGTGAGGGTGGAGAGAGAGGTGAATGACCAGTTTTGTGGGTGGAGATTGATTTGGGTGGAAGGTCAGATGGATGACCCTCAACGATTGAGAAGACCCAAGTGTAATGCAGATACACACATGACTGTATTACTTCCAAAGTTCTGTGATCTTTTAAGTGACCTCATTAGTTTAAGAACACATTTGCTTGCAATTTTAAAAAAAGTGAAGAAAACTCCAGGTCTAGGTTTGCTTTGTACTATTTTTCCTAGTAATCTGTTACATAATTGATGAGGTATTTTGGAGGATCTGGGTAATGGTTACAAAAATGTTACCTTTTGTGATGTAACAATATTTAATTTTGTACTTCTTGATTTGTCTAATTAGCTTGTGGGATATGGGAGAATACAATCTTCCTCCTATGGGTTTAGGCAATTACATTTGAGAATGCTATTGTTAAAGATTTCCTGTTATCTTTGCCATCAAGTGAAAGCAACTCATCCTCTGAAACTGGTGATTAATACATGTCTTAATCAACATTACACAATAAGCTGCTAATAATTAAGTGCACGACCTAAATGCAAACCAGGATGCTAACAAGTGATCTTGCAGTTATGCGGAATCCTTAGAAGATATGGATTCAGCAACCACTCCAATTTACAATTACTTATTTCTCAAACTGTTTGTTTGATGAAGATGGCAGATTACAAAATGTGTTTGATAGGACAGGGCTATGCATTGCTGCAGTGACATGCATACTTTTTAAACAGGCTGTCCCTACTTACCGATTGTAGGTATGGGAAACCTGGCTGTGATGCAGACACGTGTGATTACTTCCTCAGTTACCGCAGGATAGGTGCTGATGTGGAATTTGAACTAAGCGCTGATACAGATGGTTGGGTTGCAGTTGGATTTTCATCAGACAAACTAATGGTAAGCCACACTTCCCCACACAGTAATTCATTGTTCCTTTACTGCATTAATTTAATTGAAATGTGCATGCAGAATCTAATCAAGTATATACATGTAATTGGCTGCAGTTCCTACAATCTCTATACATGTAATTGTGCTGTTTCTCATTTAGTAATAGTGAAGTTTACATTTCAAAGTCTGCCACAAAGCAGATATATTTCAATAAATAATGCCAAAACTAAGAGTTGATAAATATGGGTTAACATTACTTAATTTATGTCTCCAAATAGTAAACCCACTGAGTGAATACCCCTCAAATTCTGCTAAATCAAAATAAGATCTAATTATAGATAACATGCATTGGTGTCCTCACTTTAACTTGTGTGATCTGACAACAGTACACCATATCTTTCCCAACTCTTCACAGCTTTTCCCATTACCTGAATTTTCTAAATAGTATTAAGTTTTTTTTTTAAGAAATATTCCATTGGTTCAACAGCCCTCTGTTTTGCAGAATAGCTATTTGGGCATAATTTGTGAACCCAGACTGAGTGCTGGTGGGAGCTTCGACTGTGAGAGCGTCATGTTTGTATGTCTTGTCCTGCTGTCACCTGACACACAGTGATGGTCCCTGGTGCCAGATTAACCACCATCATGTACCTGAGCTTCCAGATCCCAGGTGGAGGGCAGTGGCAGTTTACAGTCTGTTGTGTCTCAAGGTTTTTGGGATCTCTTTGCTGGCATTCCTGCTGATCACTGAATACACAGATCCAAGGTACAGGGGAGTGAAAATACGTGGAAGCAACCTACATAATTCAACAACTTTTTTCAAGACAACAACTTATGCCAAGCATTCAGCCTGCTCATTCAGAGTAACAGATAGGAAAGAAACACAAGAATGCTGAAGCAGAACCTGTAATGATGAAGCCAGTAACTATGTAAAGAGGTTCACTGCCATCCTAATAATCTCCTGGAACTTGAGCTGCCCTTTATCTTTTAATGATGCTGATCTTTGGGTTTCCCCGGGGAAGGAACCAGGATAAGAGACGGAGAGAGTATTCTCAAGGGCATCATGGTGTGAGGAAGAATAGCTTGGCCTATCATCACCTTTGAGTTAACAAGGTGTAGAGCTGGATGAACACAGCAGGCAAAGCAGCATCAGGGGAGCAGGAAAGCTGACGTTTCGGGCGTAGACCCTCCATTACTTTTGAGTTTCTAGTGTCAAAGAATAACTTACCTTTTGCTCTGTTATTTCAGTTGAATGTAGTCCTGCAGAAAAGAATGCACTTATTATGTGGCATTTTATTCAGTCAGGTGACTGAGATTTGCATTGTATGATCAGCGAATTCTAATGTGATCAGTGTGAATACTGGATTGGGGGTTTGCTCTGTATTTAGTGAGGAAGAAGGAAATAAGATAAAGTGATAAAAATAAAATGTTAAGAATACCTCAGTAATTAATTGAGTTCTGAAGAGTCTCTTGAGCTGTTTCCCTCCTGGGGTTTCAATAACATGCTGCTGTGCTTCAATAGCAAGCAAGGCCGCTTCTCTAAAATCTTTACACCGAGTTCTTTTTAATAACAAGGATGTTATGAGATCAGCAAGTTTGAAACACAGAGGATCGATTGATTGAGAGCAGCGTTTTCCAACCTTGTTGCATGGGGGTGTTGTGAGGTCACGTATCAGTTTTTCTCTTACTCTCGGGGCTCATGAGCAAATTTCAGAAAGCTAATGTTTAGTGTAACAGTCAACATGAATTTCAATTTGAAAAAGTCCAAAGCAATAAATCAATAATTTAAGTAAATAAGTAATGAATAAAGGTGACCATCGAGAAGTGTCGAGAGACAGAGCTAACTATCAAAACCTTTTTTTTTGCCTTTTTACTTGAGAAGCAGTACAGGAGATAGTCTAGGTCCCCAAGTCCTGAGCACCCAAAAGCGGGGAGGAGGAGTTAGAGGCCACAGCTGAACTAGGTTAGGTTTAATTAACACTTTTTACATTCTCCTCTGGTGGTGCCTACTCCCAGCTAACCTCAGCAAAATTCATACAGAAATGGGGTGCCAATAAGATTGCCTTTGTTGTGTGTTTTCTCCTCTTCCAGCTTGCCTTGTGGCAAGTTTTTTGGGAAAGGAGAAAGGGATGGGCAAGCATGTCTGCCTAACTTTGTCTCACCATCTCCCACTTGCATGTATGCACAGACATACTGCCCTGTCCCAATTTTGAATGCATATACTCCCTCCACACTCCACACACACACTGTCCCCATCCCTCCCTTGAGCATTCACATAATCCTCCATTCTTCTCTGTCTCATTCAATCCTTTACTCACTCTCAATTAACAATCCCCCCCGGCCCACGAGCCCACACATCCCGCCATGTTGACTGCATCTGTCAGATCTTGTATTTTCCAATGAGAGTCCGAGTCTGGTGGTAGGTGTCAGGTGACCTTTACTGTGATTTACAGCTTCATTTCTGAGTGCAATAAGGTACAACAATAAGGCACATAAAAAGCTTCAAAATGTCTTAACTTATTCTGTGTAAACTTAGAGCGCACAGGCCTCCATCTGCTCTGCCCCCCCCCCCCATTACTATTGGTCAGTGGAGCTGAGTTATCCCTTTGTAATTGGCTCTCTGGTACAGCATCTTTCACAGTTCAAGATTGCATTAGCAATCTCAGTATATTTCCAATTAAGCTAATCATATCACTGAATGACCAAGAGATAGACAGGCTTATGGTCCACCCCCTGGTTCTTCATGATGTTTTCCCAGACTTTCTTATCTTTCTTTTTGAGGCTTTTCACAATGGATACTATATTCAAATAACATTTGCCAGCTGCCGATTAATTGGATACTTGCCTCTCACTTCAGGAACCTTTTAAATTTCTCATTACAGGGAATACAAAAGAATAATGATTTTTGATCAGTTCCAACAAAGTTATGTGGTTACATCCGTTAGCTAACAAGTTGTCTTAATGTGTTCATTCAATCCACATTCCAAAGTCTGCTAATCTCTGTATTCATTCCTCCCTGTAGTGACTGGGGTGGGGGGTCTTTTACTATCTGAAACTGGTTTAAATTTCTTCCTCTAATGCTGTTAATGGTTTTTTTGTGTATATGTGGATCTATAACTACTTCAGAACCTGTTTTTTTGATTATCTGAAGAGGTTTAACTAAAACCTACTTTAACATTGTAATAGATTGATTAAATAATTCAAGAGAAACAACTAATTAGTGTGAAATGTTCTAATCTATGTAAGCAATTGCAGCTGCACATTCTATCTTATTTAAGTAACCCTGCTTATACAGAGCTCCTATTCTACTTGCAGAGACTATATTAAGCAAATATTTTCCCACACGCTGTAACTACTGTCAGCCATGTTCTGTATTAGCCATCAGCCATTTTGTGCCACTCTGTCATGGGCAACCCTAACAGCTTCCTTCAAGGTGCAAGCACGTGAATGGAAAAGAGAGAATCTCAAATTCTTCCAAATGCAGAGCCTCTTCTCTCCCTGTTGCCTCTGCTGTTGCAGCTCTGTGTTCAGGCCTCAAGCTCCATGGATCTATTCATAACTGCACAGCTCCATGCTCTTGCAATAAGAATCCATTTCTCTCCCACACCTGATGCACAAAAACAAGAGAGAAACCACTGCTGATTGGTGAAGCAGCTCCTTGCAGAATCTTCAATTGTATGTTCTATATTTGGAACGGTATCACGGGCCAGATAGGAATCCTTGGTAACCCATCTGTCATACACACCTGATCTAAAGCACATCTAAAGCCCCTGCAAGATTCTATCCACTTGATGTCTATTCTTCCAAGGACACAATCCTCATTTATAATACCCCTCAGATGTTCTTCTTGCAGCTCCTTGCGAACTTTGCCATGCACAGGACAATAATTTGGCTGACTTTCTTTCTTGAACTGGTTAGAGGAGGCAAAATTTCTTAGTGTTATGTTTGGAGCTGAAGTCTCAGTGGAAGATCTGAAACAGGTTTTTTTCAAGAATTGTTGTTATACATTATAATTTGGGTACTTCCACCTCAATTTTGATATTTTGCACCTAAAGACACTATCATAATGATGATGAAATTATTACAAAAATATTTAAGATTATGCTTTACTAGATGTAGCCCATTTCCACCTATGATATTGCAGCCACTTAGACTAAGATATTAACTATTCTTAAATCAATATTGCCTGGATACATTCACTGCTAATTGATAGTGTTTCCCTCTCAATTAATTGTATTATCAACACTAAAGTACTGTTCTGATTTATTTCAGAGAGCATTTGTTTACCTCATTAGATTATGTTTGCCTTCTGATATTTTGCTTTATTCTTATAAACATTAGCAAGCTCTATGAATTTCTCATGTCCTGAGAGTGGTAATTATGCTGAATTCCAATGCTCACCTAGGTGTTAAATGATGCATTTCTTTTTCCTTGTAGGGAGGTGATGATGTAATGGCCTGCGTGCATGATGACAATGGCAGAGTTCGAATCCAGCACTTTTACAATGTCGGACAGTGGGCCAAAGAGATAAAAAGAAATCCAGCCAGGGATGAAGAAGGCATTTTTGAGAACAACCGAGTGACTTGCCGATTTAAACGACCGGTCTATGTCCCTAGAGATGAAACCATCATTGATCTTCATTTGAGCTGGTACTATTTATTTGCATGGGGACCTGCCATACAAGGTAAGTCTGCACTTTTTTAATATGTTGTAGCACTGTTATGATAAGTCATAATTGCAGTTATCAACAATATCTTGTTTTTTTTAACCTGACGCAGCTAACTGATTAATAATGTGACAGATCATTCAGATATTTAGATGTTTAAGGAGATTTATAAATTGCATCTTTTAAAATTTAACTCATCTATGCATGTAACTAATGTGAACATTTATAATTTTGCTTTTATTGCCAATTTAAAACATATCTTAACATAAGGAAAATTTTTACAGTAGGTTTTACTATTAACACTTTCAAATGTTATAAGCAATGACCATTATATTTTTGCTGGTTCTATGCTTCTACTCACTTTGCATCTTTCAATAATGCCCCTGTTCATTCCCATGTTACATGCTGACAAAAATAGTTTTAGCACTCAGTCAGATTACCAAAACAGTCACTAATTCAGCTACTGCAGCTACAGTACTGTTTATGAATATAAAATAAGAAATAGGTGGAAAGCTTCAGCCGTACTGTATCTCAGACTTATTCTGCCATCCAATAAGATCAAAGTTGAGTTTTCTCAATTCTATTTTCCTACCCTATCCATTTGGAAACACCAGTGAACCTTAGCATTGGTAATACAAAGTGGTATATTCATTAGCCAAACTTGTATCTGAAAGAGGAAAACAGATTATATAATCTCAACTGTGATTTATTGCTAGGTTTGATGAAAAAAATCACAACAGAAATGTTTCAAAGGAAGTAAGTTACTAATATATAAATGTATTTGAAATAATGGCATGCAATTTTACATAACTAATCTTTTTGCTACTTTTGCTACATTTTACGCTTGTGTTAACTTGAAAGGCTCAATCACTCGACATGACATTGACTCTCCACCAGTATCTGAAGATGTTGTCAGCATCTACAAGTATGAAGATTTATTTATGCCTTCTGCAGCTTATCAAACCTTCTCCTCTCCTTTCTGCCTGCTTTTAATTGTTGCTCTGACATTCTACATACTAATGGGGACTCCATAACTAAGTCAATGCACTAACAGATTGGCTTAAAGCATACTTGACTGTGGAGAATTTCAGCAGGAGTGAAATGAATACACAAGCTCTGTTTGGAATAAATTTTCTGATGGAGCACCAACTGAAAATGTACAATTTCACAAATATTTGTTGGGAAGTGATCAGCAAATTGTCAAATGATAAATACCCTTGGGTAGCAAGAGTTTGAGCCCTGTAAGGCATGTTTGTAGAACAATTGTAGATTGACAGAACTGTACAATGTGTTTCCTTGGTCTAGGAACAGTATGCACTATTTTTTTCAGTCATTAAGTCAGCATACGCTGCAAGTGCCAAGAAGCCAATTCTAGAAGAGCTAATAACGTTATTCTAAATGTAGGTTCCTAGCTAACATGCAGCTTAGGTTGGTTGTTGTGCCTGTATTTTGTAAGATCTTTTGTCTTATACTGTTCGATGAAAATTCGTTGTACCAGATATTGTCACTTTTAGCTGTTAAGTTTAGCCAAATCAAAAATGAAAAGAATGTTTGAACAAATACAAGCATTTCTAAAATTCTGTGTAAATAACTAGTCTAGAAGCTGTTCATATTTATTTACAGAGGATTCAAATTGTAGTGAAATATTAATTTCTTTCAAAGCTTTTACTTTGTATAAAGGGTAAAACAGCTAACAAATTATTAATGTAATATAATTCAAGAGCCAACAAAACAGTTGAAATGTAGAACAAGCTTAAATGGTCAAGTAGTTCTCAACAATTAGGTTTGTCAAGTAACTCTTTTGCTAAAGGTTTCCGATTATCTAAAATAATGTGCAACTGCATCTCATTATTACCAACGAATAGTATTTTGAAATCTAGAAAGAGTATTCTACAAAAGGGATTGAGACAAAAAACTGGTGATAATATTATTAAAATAAATGAACTTCACTGTGGACTCTATTCGTTGTAAATTAAGATCTCATTGTTTTTATGATAAAAAGAACAGATTATTCTGAAAGCTATCTCTTCCTCTTTAATCCCACAAGCAGAAAATTGCAGGTTATAAGTAAATATGACATATAATGGCTGAATTTTGGGGGACTGAATTTCTAATAGAGGGGGATAGGTGAACATTTAATCATTGATGGGAGGGTGATTTTAGAGAAGTGGGCAAGAGGGTTTTTATACAGTGAACAGGAAGGTGATGGAAAGAACTGACAAATGGGTAAGCATTTGAAGAATAATAGGATTTATTCAAGCAGTCCCTATATTTATACTTGCCAACATTTGATTAAAGATTGTGCCTATAATGAATTTTAAAACTTATAAACAAAATTAAACTCTATCCGTAAGTTCTAGTTGCCCAAACATAATATGCCAACAGCTAATCAGATGCTCTCAATTTCCTCTGCTAATCAAACTTCTATTTCATGCTATAATTCTATAGTTTACAATTGATCAGAGGACTGTATACCTGCAAGCTATTTTGATAATTGAACATGCTGTTATCGATTGTATCCAATTTCAGTGGCATTTATAATTCTTCTTGTTAAATCTGTGGTTTATTGTCTAAACAAACTAAGTTAAAATGTGAAGATATTCAGTTCCTCCTTTCTTACAAAGAAACTTGTACTCCTTCCTCACATCTTATCTATTCGATCCCTGCTGGGTGTTTATGTTCACATTTTATGCCATTTAAACAGGTAATAAATAAATCAACTAATTTTGCCATTTGCAGTATTCCCACAATGAAAAAACATTACTCGGTTCTGACTAACCATTACTGTCTCATATTTAGATTCCTTAGCCTCACTGAGAAGCAAATCTAGTAAACATAATGTTCAACAAAATTCCCTGATTGACCTAATTAGCTTACTCCAAGACGGCCTTCTGAATCATTAATCCATGTCAGTGGAAGCAAAGGTTACGACAACTCTGAATTTTAAGCAACTGCTGGTATCCAGACATTCATTGGAAATATATCAATGCTGTCAGTTGTTGCTTTTGTGAAGTTCATTATTCCTATGCACACAGCCATATAATATTCAGAGGTAGCAACAGTTCAGTCACATTGGTGTGCATCCCAATTAAATGCCTACAGTAGAAACACTTTTATTTAAAGACAACCCAATTTGTCTAAACTTTGCAGGTAGGAATTATTTAGACTGGGTCCTTGCAGGCATAAAGTATGAAGTGTAAGGGCTGTCCGTACTAAACATTGAAAATATAATGCATATGCCTCAGCAATGGTTCTGAAGACTGGAGAGTTCTTTGAAGCACTTCTGAAACCTAGTCTGCTCAGCTGCACGGAGTTGGGGATCATTATATTCCACACTTAATCCTTGCAAAATTATATTTGTGCTGCATATTATACAGTATTGGAATCTACACAGATTCACTGTGATGATATTAAGATTTCAGAAGTTTAGACTGAAATTAGGGTGCAGAGTCAGTAATATGAGACTATACCCAGCTGCCAGAGATATGCAAGAGAAGGTTATCTGCTGATTATTCTCCTAATGTTAATGCTGGGACAGAATTCTATCAGGATAGACATATGTCAGAAGAAACATTTCAATTTCTAAATCATGGATGAGAATGTGAAAATTGTATTTTCTTCATGTTTGTGTTTTGTTCTCAAATTGCATGTGCTTCCTTGATTTGTGATCCTCTGGTTCTGTGTCTTTCTGTGCACCACCTGAGATTTCCTTCTCCCACATTCAATTAATGGTTACACCCTTCATCAACAACTAGAGTGTTGAATTATTGGCCAGAGGTCAAATCAAAACTGCATAATTTCAAATGGCTTATGGTCATTTTTCAGAATGGGAACATCTAGCAGTAGCATCTACCCGCATTTTTGTTAAGAAGTCGTCTCTAGAATTCATAATACTAGACCTTCCAACTGAATGTAGAGTTGATGTATGGTTATCAAACTTCTCATTTCTGAGTAACCTGAAATACTAGTCAGCGTTCCTACCCCTAATATCTACAAAAGTTAGCAATCAGCCTCCCCACTACTCCATCTTGCCTCCAGCACTGGGTAGTATCTCTTATACCTTTTTTTCACTGACCACAAATAACTGACAAACACTGCTATCTCTAACATGTGGCTACTTAAATTCCAATGTAACCCTGTCTGATTAAAACTCATTTGAGTTTGAAGGCTGAGATAACAAGGTGTAGAGCTGGATGAACACAGCAGGCCAAGCAGCATCAGAGGAGCAGGAAAGCTGAC